TTAAAAAATAAAATAAATAAAAAAATACGAACAGTAAAAAGATTAAAATATAAAGTACTGAAAAGTTATAGTAAAATTGGATCATTTTAATAATATTACCTGCGAAGATCTATTCTGTCACCGCCGTCTGTAAATTTTCTTCTAACGTTAACACTAAACATTTGCGCATCGCGCGGTCGGACGGCGGACCTGACAATGGCAATCGAGAAAAGAGAGATGCCGACAAGAAGGCAAAATCGCGATTGTTTTTGGGACTACTGGTTCCTACACACCGGCGCGAATTTGTCACGCACGACGCGCGATATTCAATAATACTTTACCGATGTTTTCAATCTAAAAATGTGCATTATTGAGTATCGTATGCGACGGACATCGCGCTGTACAGGAGTCATAACTTCTTGCGTATTTTCACTATGGAACTACGCAGGGTAAAAATGAAACATTTGTAATGTCTATACCAATAANCCTTCATGGTCTGTGGCGTTGCGTGGTTTATGTGTGCACCAGCCACAGCGTCATATAGTGTCGTCAGATCGGTGAAATAATAAAATATTTTTGTCGAGATCTCAATGAGATCTTGACGAGAATTTTCAATAATCTTGATCTTGATGTGGTAAATCTCGATATTGATCTCGAATATTATAAGTAATCCCGATCTCGAATCTCGTCTCGATTTCGAGACGAGATCGAGACGAGATCGAGATTTATCTCGTCTCGTGCGCATCTCTAATTTTGAGTAACAATAGCAATTCGTTATATAATAAAATGATCGAAACTAAACGTATGTAGAGATGGAATTGAATCATAATATTTATAAGATAAACTTAGCTTGACTTAAATACATATTATGCTATTACCGTGCATATAAGAAGTGTGCAAACATTCAATTACACAACTTAACTCTGACAAAACGCTTTGTAATATTTCTGTATTAAAGCATCTAAACTAATTTACATTTGTTTTTCTAAAAGTATTTTATTATTCAAGTTATTACAAAATAACTTTAAATGATACAATTAGAAAGTACATCGGTGATCTTTATTTCTATTTTTATATAGATAATTTAATATAGATTTAATAATTTAATTTCTATTGTATATTTATTGGATTAATAATTTAATTTATTGTATAGGCAATTTATACTGTGATATATGTATATTAATTTGCTTATTTATCAGGGCAAGCTGGCTATAATGAAATATGTTTGTATTTTATTAACTACAAAGAAACAAAGAAATTAGCATACACAATCGTTTTTAGCATGAAAAAAAGTAAATCGTATAACTAATGTAATAGAGTTTCTCTCTATTACATTAGTACAATTTAACCATAATATATTAGTTGTTTGAAAAGTCAAATGGTGAAGTTATAAAAACTGTGTCAACGCCCCACGCAGTCTCCTTTATTTAATACATTACTCTCTAAATTTTTTAGAATAAAATTTAGAATAAAAACTCGAAACAAATGAAAATTTATTTCAATCGATAGTGAAAATACTGCCACTTGGAATGGAGTGGCAGTTCACTTTTTATAAAAGTGAGTGTTTAACTCTAACTGGAAGAGTAAATGTTTATTCCTTTAGAGTGAAACACGTTGGTCAAGATGGGGTGAGACCAGGAGTTTTATTGTTAGCTAAATGTTTAAAGTATACGTAAATTCTTGTTTTATAATATTTTTTTTGAGAGAAACATTATTGCAAATAAACAAGAAACAATTGATGATTGATATAACTAACACAAATGTTAAAGAATCTGCGATATGTGCCATTCGATGAAAATTACAATATACAATTATTTAAATAAATTATTTGAAACCAGTGTTTCGCACGATACATTTAGTGTCTTTACTCTATATAGTATATAATGTCTATATCTACCTTTTAGAACATTTTAATGGCTAATCAATTTTTTGATAATTGTAGTAAAATTTAATTTGAAACATGTATCAACTATTTGAAATATAAGTAGGTGATGTAAGTAATAGTTTTTCTTTCCATTTTTTACTTTTTTATATATTTAATAAATATTCTGAAATCATACATATCTAACTTTTATTATATTTGAATAGTAAAAAATCTGCTTTTATTAACTAATATTAATTATTTACAATTGTATTGTACATATATAATGTTAAAAGTAAAATATCAATATGTGAATTTACTAGCAGAAAATAAAGTTATTGCGTTTGTATGCGTGTCAGAGATGATTCGCAACTGTAAAACAACTTGCGTAACATTTAATCATCAAGTAAAAGCTTTAAATCTCATGAAACGGAGATGCTCTCTTCCGGATGCACGGATATCTAGACACACGGAGCAATATCTCGTTAACCAGGCACGATCAGCGATCCGACACCTACTCCTTTATCTCCCTGGCATTTCTCTTTCGCCCTCCTACTCTTTGACGTAGACGTAGACGTGACATCCCGTGACCCGTTCCCGCCCCTGGCTATGGCCCGTGCAGAAAATTGTGCCCCGCTTTAGATCGAGATCGCGGTTGCCAGATAAAAGATCACCCGAATCGACCGTAAATTGAAATTCAAAAGGAAAGAGGAGAAAAACCACGATACGCGATATCCCGTAAGAGGAGAAAGGAGTGAAGAGGCGACCCCGTCGGATGGTATGGAGGTGGTACGTGGCGGGGTAGAAGAGGAGAGAAAGGTACGAGGGCAGAATTCGCGCGTATATATAATAATTATTTTAGAAATTAATGGGGGATACCTCTCGAGTGACCGGATCCCGCGCGATGTGGCGCGAGGGAGAGATTTACCGTCAGTGCGGTGGGGGCGCATGGGAGGAGTGTGCAAATGGCGACGCGATCTAGGACCCGCCAATCGTCGGATACGGTGGAGAGCCGAATAGAGAATGGCCACGCCCTCAGTTGCGTGACGTGATTGCCCTGCGCGAGAGTACGATCCGCGCTTATTCTCGGCATACAGCCGACCAGTCACCACTCAGACGGCGTATCTACTGCTGTCAGTTACGCGATCTCTTTTCCTTCCTCTATTTGAGCGCGCGTTCCGTTCTACCCTCCTCTTTTTCTTTTTCCCTTTCTCTTTATTCGTTGATTGCGCTTTCGCTGATTTTGTTCGACCAGCGCGAAGTTCGAAAAAAAACGTAGTGGTGTGTATGCGTGCGGAATTGACGGGGAGGGGGAGCGATTATTCGATCTGCGAATCGATTTTGGAGGGTGGAGTCGACGGTGCTCGATCCACGACGCGATATACTTCACTAATTATGAGATTTACGCTTCTCGATCTCGTCATTAAGCGGCACAAGAAGGGAAACAGATAGGAATCTATCGATTAGCTGATCTCGTGATAGCCAGCAGGCAAGACTGTGGTGGAAAAGAGAGCGCCAAATTTTTCGGGCGTTCTTAGGAGGGAAAAATGTTTAAGTGTCAGTGATATATTTTGAGTCGATGGTGTATGGGATTTTTCATGTGAGACTGTTGATCTGTTGCTGAAGATTGATGCACAGTGTTTGATAGTGATCGTAAGGGATGAGTTACATTCACGAGCGAATTAAGTGGCTTTCTTTACGCCCATCTTGAGGAGGTGTCCTTTTAATTGCAGTGCATCCGAAAAACTTTATTCGGAGTACGGTTTTAAAATTTAATTATCGTAACTTACGTCAACTTTATTTTGTCATAGAACTGCAGTAGCAATTAACTTCTCATCTGATCTATGAGAAGCGAATCATTATGACGCCCTTTTAAGAAGCTAAATCATCTATTCATCATCGTTGGAATGTGCACGATGCTTCTCAAATAGATATTATATACGTAAAGCGATCTTTTCATAACGACAGAAATACTGTGCTCCAGCGTAATGTTTGAATTGCAAGTGAAATCGAAGTCAAAAAAAGAATCAGAATCGGGCTGAGTTGGAAGTATTAAGGAAACAAGAAAAACAAAGAAATCAAAGATAGCATTACGAGGCACAAACTGATGATAGTTTAGAGCACGTTGCTTTCCGGTAGATCTGGTGCTCAAATATCTCTTTCAACCAATCTTTCGTGATTCGCTACAATTTATCGTGAGAAGAATTTTATTGAAGTTTGTACTGATTGCGGCGAAGCGGATTGCCATTCCGATACATCGTCCGTCTAACTTCTCTCTCGTCTGGATACCTAATAATAAAAAAAAGTCACAAAATACTAAACAAAGGTGATTGCGACGCAGCAAACAACAGTGACGAATTGCTCGAGTGGTGACGGAGGTGGTAGTGGCGGTGGCGACGGCAGCGGTAGCGATAGCGACGGATAGGAGAGACTCACGTATGCGACCGCGATTGACACGGTAGAGGTGGTGGAGGTAGAGGTCGACGAGGTTAAGATGGAAGCTGAGGACCATCTTGCAAGGGAATACGTGCAGGAGTTCGTTCTCGATCATCTGGATCCGGCTGATGTCAAGCGAGAGGTAAGCGCAAAAATGTTTCGCGAGAATATACCTGCAACATAATAAATTATATTTTTCTTTACGCGTGATTAAAAAAGGATATAACTATTATACATATATTATACATATTCTACATATATATACTATTATACATATCGGACAAGTCACACAATTCAGTCAACTTACAAGAGTCGATCACAGAAACAAGGAGGAAAAAATAGAAAATGCTAAAAAAATTAAACAGTTTACTAATGCAAACATGATATTACTTTTTTTAAAGAAGTATAATGTATCAGTAACGTGCAATTGAATTTTAAAAATTGTAACTATAAAAGTATAATAAAATATATTTTTATAAATATAATTAATGAATTCTCTCTTTTTTATATAAATACATTCTTTGATTATTTATTTGCTTATTAAAGTATCTAGATAAAGTTAATAAATACAAGTTTTTTTTTGGTATTTTATCCTAAAATATTTTTATTTTTTATGCCTTATATAATACGTATATGTACTACCTATATTTTTAAAAATTTACATAATTTTGCTTAAGAGTACAACATTGAAATTATATTTTGCTGTATATTTGAAAGTATATTTTGTTTTAAAAATTAAGTTTTGAATTATAAGAAAAAAATATTCTTCTTGAAAACTCATTTCCTTTTTTAAAATAGTCAAAATTAATGATAAAGACGCATAAAAAAAAGAAAAACGCAGTAAAAAAACTTTAAAAAAAATTTTTTTTGTACTAATAATAAATAACTTCTTACTATCATATTAATCATAAAACGTATTATCAGTTTTAATTAGTATTATCTTTAAGAAAGATTATTAAAAGTTATTTTTAACATTAATTTTTTTATTACATAATCAATTTATGTAAAAATAAAATTGATATGAGTTCGGGAATTGAATGTTGATTTTGACGTTAGAATTTTAATCTTAAGATTCGAAATAGTAACTTTAATGTGGTAGATGTAAAAAAAATGAAAATTAAAAAAAATTACAGATATATTTTTAATGAGATTTATGAGTTTTGATATTAAAATTTCATACATATGTTACGAGCTTGATCTGTTCTACACTCGTTCTGTATTGCTCATAATCAAGCATACATATGGCTACTATAATAAAGTTATCACTAATAATCATTAAGTATATTGATTAAGATGTCGTTAAAGCGAAAAATATCTTACCAATATAGCAGATGATATTCAGAGATTTTAGATTATTAAAGACACAATAATCCTATTTATTTGCAATAAATAAGATGTGATAATTGTTAGTTGATAGAAAAAGGTATTTTTGCTACATTTATACAGGATATTGTGATATTGTAACATACAATTATTATGATGTGATTCGTAGCTATTTAAATACATTACTTTTTTTATAAAAATGTTACATTTTCACAAAATGCATTACTTTTTATAGAAATATTTAAATATACAAATTTTAATATATAAAATATCCTCGGCAAATAGAAAAATATAAAATACGATAAGAGTTAATATTATTACAAGTTATACAAAGTTTTATATATAGTGTTTGAAATACTCTTATATCTTTTTCATGTATTCTTTAGTTAAGTTAAAGTGAAGTTTTAACAGAAATATTAAGCAATAAATGGAATAAGGTTAAATAAAGGGCTTTTCGTAACTATAAGTTATGAGCTAACAGAATCTTTCTTTTTAAGAGATTTGCAATTTATAAGCAAATTTAAGAATTAATTTAACTATAACAATATAGTAAAGAAATCGAAAATGTTTGCGACAAACTTTTTTGAAAAATTCGTTTTCGCTAAAAAAAAGATTCGAAAAGATTTTAAAATAATTAAATATGAAGAGATTTGCTACAATTTTGCTGTAACAAATATTTTGCATAATTGTCTCGTTAATGGGTTATGTTGTCCTAAAAAAGAAAACAAGATAAAAAGTACATATATGTAAAAATATAGTTGTTAATGTTGTTATATTATCATCCGGAGTGTAGTATGCAATAGCAATGCGTAGTACATATAACATGTGCTACGTTGCGTGAGCGTGTTCTGTTATCTGCTACGTGTAAATCAAATAAATCGTAATTTTAAGTGACGTTGATACATGATTGTTCTCATGAAAGAGCGCTCACACACTCGACATAGTATAATTTTGTCAGAAATACTAATTTCTGATATTGCCTCGTTAATATCCATTTTATTACTTAACGGAAAATAATATTATACATAGCTATGATTAAGTAACCAACGCACGGTCGGTTAAGATAAAATAAAAAAAAAGTTTATTCAATAATTTGTCTACGCATAGTGCGATTTTACTAAAAAAAAAACATACATTTAAATATAACTTTTAATCCGAATGTTATAATAATATGAATTTTGAATATTGCGTATAGTATATATAATTAGAATTTATTTGAAATGACTTTAGATACGTATCTTGTTAAGTGATGAAATTTAATTTACATTAGGGTATTGCAACATTTAGATCATTTTAAATTATTGTCTGTTGTATTAAGATATATCGAATAGGATAAAGCAAACATTTTAAATGTTTCTTTTGTTAATTCTTCTGTTTATATTAGACTGTTAATTTCTGTTACAAAAATGTGAAAAATAATTAAAAAATGTTTTTATCGTAAATAAAATTTTCATTGTTGTTCTATTTGTAATAAGTATTGTAATGTTAAAAATAATAAGACTGAATTTTTCTTATTTTAGTAAAGTAAAATAAATGACCAATACTATCTTTTTATAAGAAAGCTGTGTTTATCGCGTCAAATTCATGCGCAACGGCGAGACAGATGCGTTTTTACGCACAACTTGAACTGAGATTGTTTTTGATTATGATATCCCCATTCCTAATAATATCTAGATCAGTCGAATTTGTAACAGATATAATCGTTAGCCGAAATTTCTATTACATAATAGAAGTGTCTTTATTTTTTTTCTGTATGCCCTATGAACAAAGATATTGTAGCGAAAAGACTGAATTGTGAAATTTTTATTTAAGAAACGTCGGAAGTCGTCGGAAAGAAATACAAATTTTGATTACAAACTGGCTCTAGAGGATTGTAGTTGATATTGGCAGTTGATAATTGTAAAAAGCTAAGGACTCGTGCAAACAGGACGCGGAAATATTTGCGAAAGAAGCGATACAATAATCAATCTTTTGCTCTTAAGAAAAAGCGGTAAGTTGATTAGCTACTGCAGACGTTTTAACTTTACAAAAATGAATTATTGTATAAATTTAGCGTTGATCATATATACACGTTTAGAAATGTTTTAATATAATAAAAGGTAATAGTTAAAGACTATGTACATGTAATTTAATTTAATTTAATTTATTGCGTATAATTAAGAAATTAAAATATTAAAAGAGACAATATTATTAAAGTACGCAAATGTATATATTATATTATCAGATATATTTTATTGAAAATATACATATATGTTATTATGTGTACTTATATATTGTAGGTATATGTTACCATCAAAACTCATAATCGTTAAAATCCGATTTCACTAGTTAAAACTAGTTTTAAATTTAGTTGAAACGAGATCTATAATTGTACTGTTTCATATAGATTTTCGATTTTCCTCACGCAGTGAGGTTCCCTCCCTTCTCTGTTTACGGGACAAAACGATGTCTATAATTGTATTGTCCACATAGGTTTTCGATTTTACGTCTAATCAACTATTCTAGTTTTAACTAGTGAATTCGGATTTTAACGGATTATGGGTTTTGACATATATACAAACATATACTTTCTTAAAAGATAATAATAAAAATAATATTACAAAATTGTACCAATTATAATAAAATTTATGTACATAATATAATTCTTTTATTGTTATATTTTGATATTAGAAATATATTATATCCAATTATACGATTTTATATTATAAGATGATTGTGAAGTCAAGTTTCTGAAAAAATATGTGATATTCCGGAATACATTTTGATAAGAAATTTTTGACTATGTGAATAATTGATATATTTTACTAAAGCAAACGGCCACTATAGAAAATAGATAATAGCAAAACAATGTTTTAAAAATAAAAAAAATATTTAACGCAAGAAACTTAATAACGCGGTTTTATAAAATAATTTTCTAAAATAGATAAACAAGACTTTTTTTTTAGGCAAAAGGGTGTGCATTAGATAAGATTGTAATTTTTTCTTCTATTTTCCTATTTTTCACACGTTAAACTTTTTAGTAAAAATTACATATTTTTTAATGTCTAAGTATGAACATATTGTCTATGTATCTGTACATCTTTTATGAAACATTTTTATAACATTTCTGATTTATTTAATTGTAGATTTTATTTAAATTTTTTGGCATATTAAAAGAGAAATATTTTTTTATACAGTAATTTTATTATATAAATTTAGTACTTTTTATTTTTCTAAAAAAAGATATTTTTTTCAAGAATTATGTCATATATTATTAAAATCAACATTTAATACTTTATAATCTAATGCTAAATAAGTTTATGTAAATTTATAGAGAAATCATATTGTACATTTATTAATAATTATTTAATTATTATGAATTATACGTATGGGTAAGAAACTCATTTTACGGTAGTTTACTTATTTTGTACTATTTATTGATTTTGAATATTAATAAATATAATATATTAGCACTAATTCTACGTATATACGTATTCAAAAGCGAAAACTGATACTAATTAAACGTTACTCTTTTGAAAAAAGAGAAAAACAATTATTACTTTTATTTTACATAAAGTTTCATTTCCTAAAATATTCACAATAAATATTTTCAAGTAACTTTTATTTTGCAAAACTTGAAATTTTTTAACATTTCGGATTTTTAATAATATTTGAAGTTCTTAATTCGAATTCTTATATAACATATTGAATTATGTGTAAAAAATTTTAAAAAGGGTTTTGAATATTTATTATTAATAATACAGACAAAATAAGAACTTGAATTTTTCGCTTATCTGTGTTGTCGGTTATCGTTAAAATCGGCGAAAATTATCATTTTGCAGGTACGAATGGGTTCACCGGCGGTAATGGTAAATGGCAGCGTGGTACAGCTTTCGGGACAAGTGCAATCGCAAGGTTTGACTCTGGCACCATTAACGCCACCCGCGCACGAGTTAGAACAGCCGCATCCACTTTATGGTCAGCCTCACATTCAGGTGCAACATGGCGTCTTAGTGAAGGCACCGCCTGGCGCCGCGGCGCATCTCACCACGCTGTCGCATCCGGGCACGCCGCCGGATACGCCGCCTGTTTCGGCATCGCCGCCGCCGTTGCAGCTTCACCGTGGCGATCGGGATTCCCGCGATGCGCGAGATCTTCGTGACCGCGGCGGTATACTGCTGCAACTGCAGCAACCGGCGGCGTTGGTGCAGGAGGAGATGCAAGTGGGTACGGGTGGCATGGGCTGGCTGACGCAGTCATTGAGACAAGAGCCGCTGGACTTGAGGCCTCACTGTCCTCAAGAGCAAACCTCGGAGGCTCATCATGAACCTTGGCCAGCAGCACCGGCGCATCATCATTTCCAGGAGTTGCAACATTTGCCACGACCCACTAGGCACACTGGTGAGTGATAGATAGATATTTATTACTTCAGCTTACATGCCAAGAAGGGACTCGGTTTATAATTATTATCCTTAACTCATTCATCCATCCATACCTTTTTTATATTAGTCTCTGTATACACTTCATAAATTACTGTGTTTCCTACCTCTCACTAAAGAAATATATTATTATTTACTCTTTACTTTATACACTTACATATCACAATACAATACAATACAATAATAATTCCTTACTTCATAGCTTTATAACTTAACTTAGCTTCATACTATCGCAGACAAATTGTACGTTCATTCCTTGCTTCTGATAGCTTCTAATACTAGCTCTAATATTTTGACTCGCTTTCCCTTAACAACTATATCTATCTTAACTATAACTATCTTATACTTAAATAAATTCTGTTTTTTACTTTCTCCTCTTTAACATTATTTTCCTTTCCTTACTTTCTTTAACACTTCGCTTTTTGCCGTCTAATTCCTCACTCCAAATCCTATCCCATATTTCTTTTTTATTCTCTAACTCGTTAAACCAGCTATTTGTACTATGGCATTCCTTTACATAGTGCTCCATACAGTTTGTCTTTTTAAAAAAAAAACACAACTTCTATAGCTTTCCTCTAACCAATACTTGTTCGCTTCCTTCATATTTCCACACCTCAATTTAACTAATGCCCTTATTCCTTTTCCTAATCTTAATTTTACTACATTTTCTTTTCTTAAATACGAGGGCCTTCTACCTTCATACCCTATCTCCTTTATCCTTATACCTTTTGCACACTGAGTGGTATGACATTATAACAGTTCGCTCACTTTTGAAGGACAAACAATTTTTAATTGTAAAATAGTTTGCAATCCGTATTAACAAACTGTTCACAAACAGTACTCGATTTGTGAATTTGCAAATAGTGTGTGCAAAAAGTTTGCGATCAACTCTCGAACATTTGTGAAAACTGAACATGTTGTCTACATCAGTGTTTAGCTTTGGATTTATCGCTTTTTTTTTATTTTACCGCTTCCAGAACAAACTTGTAAACGATCTGTTTGCAAACAATAATAATTGAACATTGAAATTAGAAATAACAACCGATTACGAACTGTTTATTAATAGTTTGTAGGCTGTTTGCAAACAAGTATTCGCATCATAAAGCAATTCACGATTTGTTCACAAATTGTTTACCAACACCAGTAAAGATGCATTTTTATTAATCCTTTGTAGAGAGGCGATTTTTTTTAAGACCTCACTCTTTTATTTTGTAATTGTTCGCTCAATTTTCATAAAACTTGACCTATAAGTAATTTAAAAATACTTTATTTGAATCAGAAGTGAAAAATAAAAAATTTAAAAACGATAGATTGGGTAATATAAGCCAGCAGAATTATGAAAAATAATCTGACGGTTATAAATTCATCAACTTCCAAGTTCTATATAGTCGTAATGTGGAGATTTGTTTGGAGTGAAACATGTCGTTATACATGAGTGAAAACTGAAAAGTAGATATAAATGATTTTATTTGAAGTGGAAACTTCTTCGTTCAGATTTGTTCAGATAATTCCTGTAGCATAAGTTTCTCCTTCTTGGAACACCCCAAAAAAATATTCTAGTTATAAAGTGAAATTTTCTCTAGTCCCATATTCTAAGCGAAAACTTTTACAGAAAGAGTATTCGTATTCCTATAAAGTGAACTGTTCATCCAAAATCTATTAGATATTATTTTTCGGTTTTTCTCTTATTAAGAGGAATATATTTATTTCAAGCGGAATGCTCTCTTACGTGCAATACGAATAACACGAAAAGCAATGTGTATCGGTGTGTTCTGCCGTGACGATTGATTGAAGTATTGCGCTGCATTTGCGAAAACAGGCGCAGTAAGTAAGGCTGCGTTCCGTTTATCCAAAAAAAATAATTTTAATATTAGTGAAATCCGCTAAATCTTAGAGGATTTTATTCTTGTATATGGCCTCAAGAGGAATCCTCTGAAATTAAAAGGAAAATATTCTGTGCACAATATTCTAATAGTTAGAATAATTTCGTCTTGCATTTATAGTACAAGTCTTGTACTGTAAATCTATATTTATAATTCACATTATTTATACTGTAGTTTTTCAGTATTTGCA